TAAATATATAAAAAAATATATATCAACTATCTATAACTATATCTCTCCAGCATAAATAAATAAATAAATCAATAAATAAATAAATATTATATATATACATATATATCTCTACATCAATATCAAATATATATTAAAATATCAAAAATATAAAAAAATATATATATATATCTATATAATATATATCTAATATAATATATAATATCTGATCTCTATATATACTAAATATATATATATATATGCCTATAAAATATAAATATCTATATATATATATATATCTCATATATAATATACATCTATATATGCCTAAAAATATATACTATAACTTATATATATAAATCTACACGATAAATAATCTATATAGTATAAATCAATAAATATATATATAATGCAAATATATCATATATATATATATATTATATCTCTCTCTAACTAAATTCTCTATATATCTCAATATATTTTTATACATAATATATATATATAATATAGATATAAATCTTTAATATATAATATAATTTAACTATAGTATATCAACTCTCTAAAGTATCTATATATATCTCTAGTCTATAAAAATATTTTATATATATATATAATAATATATATCTCTATATCTATTATATCAAATATATATATATATATATCTCTATATAAATCTCTCATCTAATATAAATAAATAAATTTTATATAAATATAATATAATATATATATAAATTATCAATATCTCTACACTACATAAATACTACACATTATATATCTATATATAAATATCACCATATTAAATATCAATCATATTTACTTATATATCATGCAACAATAAAAAATGAGTACTGCATTTCCCCCATTTTTTGTTCATTTTCCCCAGCAGCAATGGGTTAAAGAAACATATTTTATACTGTTAGATATTCAAAGACATGCACATATGTGTGTGCATGTGCGTGTGCATATATATATATATATATATATATAGTATATATATATATATATATATATATATATATATATATATATATATATATATATATATTTATATATATTTATATATATTCATATATATTTATATATATTTATATATATATATATATATATATATTTATATATATTATATATATATATATATATATATATATATATATATATATTATATATATTTATATATATTTATATATATTTATATATATATATATATATATATATATATATATATATATATATATATATATATATATATATATATATATATGCACACGCACACGCACACACATATGTGCATGTCTTTGAATATCTAACAGTATAGAATATGTTTCTTTAACCCATTGCTGCTGGGGAAAATGAACAAAAAATGGGGGAAATGCAGTACTCATTTTTTATATTTTTGTGAAATATCTCTGTCCATAGATGGCTCTGCTAGTCCTGATTTCCCCTTTCCTTGAATTGGCGGGAAAAAAACGTATTTTTACTAGTGCTATAGATATAGATGGTGTTATTTTTAACAGCAAATTAGGATAACGTTAAATATTTTCGTAAATCGAGGAAAAGGGTGAATGGGCGAGACAGGCAGTACTCGTAATTGGCTCATTGGATACTTGGTACAAGATTAGCCATCTATGTGTAAAAACAATCGAACAAGTCGACTCAGAGTGGGCATGGCATGTACATACATGCCATTCCTGGCGGCAATGGGTTAAGATGAAGATGTAGGTAAGTCTTTTTTTATCTTTTTATTATTCATATAACTTGAGACCTGAATTTGTATCATTCCAGGCAACAATATATTATTGTTGTAGGAAGGAACTTTAAATTAGTAATTACAGTATATATATACATACACACATTGTGCATGTTTGCTGTATTATTCATGAGGTAGATTTATTTTTCTGTTAATTCATTATTTTTATCTTTATTTTTTTTTGTTATATACATACAAGTAGGTATATGTGAACTTTAAAATGTGTGGAATAACTTATTTATTTATTGCAGTAAATTAGTATAGTAAGACTCCAGGTCTTATGTATCCTTGGGGATACAGGTTCCCCATTAATTGTGTTTACAAAGAAATGGCTCCAAGTTACTAGTCCTGCACATCTCGCCTGTTTACACTTTTCCTTGATTTCTGGAAAGTTTCTTTTAAATTATTTTACTGTTTTATTGTTATTGGAATTTTTATAACATAATAATCTTAATGTCAGTAACAGTAATTACAGCATTGATATTAATCCTGCAAATTCACTAGGGCCTACTAATTGACTTTTTGGTGGCTGAGTACTTGTAGAGCCATCTGTGTGAAACAAAATTCACAAAAGACCACAGTAGATAGTACATTACTCCATGGTCATTGGGTTAAATATGATTGTGTGTGTGTGTGTGTGTGTGTGTGTGTGTGTGTGTGTGTGTGTGTGTGTGTGTGTGTGTGTGTGTGTGTGTGTGTGTGTGTGTGTGTGTGTGTGCATATACATACTTTTTTTAATTAACCCTAGTTCTGCAACCATGAAATGTTCTCTCACAG